AAAATTATAAATCCACCCCACCATTCACATCCAACGGCTCACAACCACCCTTGCTTTTTCGTTATCAAGTAGTCGTATCTTTCTCCCCATCTTTTCCCTACCACCACCACCACCACCACCACTACCGTTACCAAGAAGCCCTTTAAAATTGAGAATTGGGTTGTATTTTCATGTAACATTCAACTCATTTGCCATGAAAACTCCCAAAATCATGCCTTCAACTCATAAGCTATGGTTATGGAAAATTTATAATTGGGTTGCATTTGAACCTGAACCACAACAACAAAAAAGGGTTTTTACGGCACCAAATGCACGCTGTAGATACAATTTTACGACACGCAATGTAAAGTCGTATTATGACCAGTCACGGAAAGTCATGACTAGTCATAAAAACTTTTAGCAACACATCTTATATGTCAGGTTTAATTTTTTTACGACTACTTTTGCACACTATTAATGTAGGAGACAAACCATGACACTCAATGCTAGTCATTAAATATTTAACACAACGGCCTATTTTGCCCGTTGTAGAATATGTATAATTTTATTTTTTAAATTCAACAAGTTCTATTTCATCTGTTCTGTACAATCTAAAAAAACATTACAAACATATTTCACAAAGATATATATATATATATATATATATATAAGTTGCTTCAAATTTGTTTGAAATTACTTGATTGTTGTTGTTGTTGTTGTCTGATCTGTTGAGCAAGTTTTGGTGAATTTTGCTAAAAAAAAAAAAAAAAAAATGCTAAATTTGTATAAAGAAATGAAAAATTTATCTATAAATCTCACATTGAGGGATGATCTATTTAGTCCTTAGGATTTTCTTATAAACCAATTAGTCTCATTGATTTTGGAAATATAGATTTAATATATTATTTAGAAATTAGATTTACTGTTACATACTCTTATTTATATTATGTTTCATTCTCTTTTTTTCTTGTGATAGAAAGCACACAATCTATGGGAATCAAATTTGGGATGATTTTTATATGAGAATCTTTTTTATTTAAAAACAATTTCAAAAGAAGTAAAAAAATGACTTAAAATATGAGATTCTTCAAACATTTCAGAAGGAGTACAAAAACTCCTTAATAAAATTTGGAAAAATGTATAATTTCAAAGTGTAACACTTCAAAAAAAGATCTTTAGTGTATTTTTTCCAAACGCAACACTCCAATACAACACTTCAAAAAAAATTCTTAGTGTAACACTCCAATGTAATATAAAAAAAAAAAATTCATTAGTGAACTTTTTTCAAACGTAACACTCTAATGTAGCACTCCTAAAAAAAAGGACGTGGGATTCTTCAAACCATTCCAAAAGAAGTACAAAAATGCATTAATAAGCTTTGAGCTAATGTATAATTTCAAACTGTGAGTGTTATGTTTGAAAAAAAGTACATCAAGGAGTTTTTTTGGTGTTTTTGTTGGAAAAAACTGATTCTATGAATAATTGCTAAAGTGTTAAAACAATAACAATATGGCTTCAAGCTTCAAGCTAATTTTATTGAATTGAATTGAATGAAAGAATACAACTTAAATAAGAGCACCAAAGCTACATCTGCAAACAACCACAATGTCACTTAGCAGATTTTGTGGAACTAAACCCTTGATTACATGAATTGGTTATACACACCAACCATGACTCCTACAAACTAGGGATTCTCCAATAGACTAGGTAATACCAATCTCCTAGCTATAGATGACAGTATTTATTAAAATAAAAACTTAAAGCTTAAATCTTAACACCCTCCCTTAAACTGATTTCTGCAGAATACCGTTTAGAATTCAAACATCATTTCAGCAACTCATTTTTTTGTGTATCAGCAACAATGCAACCAGCCTCTGCTGATGAACAAACTCCAAGTATGCTTCTGAGCTTCTCGAACACTGGTTGTTTGAGAGGTTTGGTTAAGATATCAGCTGCTTGATCTCCACTTTTGCAAAACTCTAACTCAATCACACCATCTTTGCAAAGATCACGCAAAAAATGATAACGAACATCTATATGCTTGCTTCTCCCATGCATAACTGGATTTCTGGAAAGCTGAATGGCAGAAACATTATCACAAAATATTCTTGTTGGGCCTTGCTGCTGATGACCAAGGACTTCAAGCATTCTTCTCAGCCAGATAGCTTGACAGGAACATGAAGCAGCAGCTACAAACTCTGCTTCAGTTGTCGAAAGTGTCACAATTTGCTGCTTCTTTGATGACCATGAAATGGCACCTGAGCTCATCAAGAACACATTACCAGAAGTGCTCTTTCGATCATCAATATCACCTGCATAATCACTGTCAGTAAAACCAAAGAAACTTTGTTTTTCACCCCTTTTGTAAAGAATTCCAAAATCAGATGTGCCTTTTAAGTATCGAAACATTCTTTTTGCTGCCTTGAGATGCACCTCAGTGGGATTCTCCATATAGCGACTAATTAAGCTAACAGCATGCATGATGTTAGGCCTTGTTGAAGTTAGATACATCAAACTTCCAACAATTTGCTTGAAAAATGTGTTATCAATTCTTTCTCCATCAGTATCTCTAGTCAGCTTTAGTTCTGTTTCAGTCGGTGTTCCAACTGGATTGCATTTCAGCATTTGAAACCTCTACAAAACTTCCTGGACATATTTCTTTTGAGAAACAAAATTACCAGCTGCTGGTTGTACTTCTATGCCAAGAAAGTACTGCATCAGTCCTAAATCAGTCATATCAAACTCATCCATCATAGACCTTTTAAAATTATCATACATATCAACACCACTTCCTGTGTAAATCAGATCATCAACATATAAACACACAATGAGCATTTTACCTTCATCATCAACCTTAACATACAATGTGTGTTCTTATGGGCACTTTTGGAAGCCTTGCTTGACAAAGTAAGCATCTATGTAGCTGTACCAAGCTCGTGGTGCTTGCTTCAACCCATAGAGTGCCTTATTCAATCTATACACCTTCTCTTTATTGCCTTGCTGCACGTAACCTGGAGGTTGATCTACATGTACTTGTTCTTCCAATTTACCATGTAAAAATGCAGACTTTACATCTAATTGAAAAATAGGCCAAGAGTTTTGAGCAGCTAAAGAGATTACCAAACGAATTGTGTCTAGCCTTGCAACTGGAGCAAACACCTCTTTGTAATCAACACCATACTCTTGCTTGTATCCCTTTGCCACCAGGCGAGCCTTGTGCTTGTCTATCTCCCCCTTCTCATTCAACTTGGTTTTAAAAACCCATTTCACACCAATAGTTTTCTGTCCTTTTGGCAAGTTAGTCAGCTCCCATGTATTATTTTTCTCTATGGATTTGATCTCAACATTCATTGCCTTCTGCCATTTAGTGTCCTTGACTGATTCCTCAAATGTGATAGGATCAAAATCTGCAAACAATGCAAAGTGAGCAGTAATATCATCATCTGAGAGTTCATCCCCACTTAGTCAATCATCCAAGCTGGTCTTTTCCTTGGACGTTGATTCTCAGGTGGCTGTTCATTTGTTGGAGGCGGCTGCTCATTTGTTGGTGTAGTGGCTGAAGAACTGGGCAAGTGTTCATCAAAGGACTGCTACTGCGTTTCAATCCTATTCTCTGCATCAACAAAATCAACTGGAACTTGCTTTAGTTCCTTGCCTTTTCCAGTCCAATCCCACATCTTTTCTTCAACAAAAACCACATCCCGGCTGATAACAATCTTCTTGGTGATGGGATTATACAACTTGTAGGCCTTTGAATGTTCACTAACACCAAGAAAAATACATTTTTCGCCTTTGTCATCGAGCTTCTTCCTTTTTTCATTGGGAATGTGAGCATATGCTATACATCCAAAAATTCTGAAATGATCAACGAATGGTCTACGCCCAGCCCATGCTTCTTCAGGTGTCATGTTTCGGACAGCTAGTGTGGGACTTCTATTCAATAAGTGAACGCCCCAATTGACTGCTTCAGACCAAAAACTCCTTGGAACGCTTCTCCCTGCCAACATACTTCGCATCATGTTTAAGATTGTACGATTTTTCCTCTCGGACACACTATTTTGCTGTGGTGTATAGGCTGCAGTCAGCTGCCTTCTAATTCCATGTTCCTTTCATAGATTTGGAAATTCTCGTGAGTTGTATTCTCCACCACGATCGGTTCGAAGAGTTTGAATAACTCTCCCAACTTCTTTCTCAACCAGGGCCTTGTAACTTTTAAATGCTGAAAAAGCTTCAGATTATTGCTGCAAAAAATATACCCATGTTTTCCGACTATAATCATCAATGAATGTAATAAAATACCTCTTATTACCATTAGACGTCGGATTTATGGGTCCACAAATATTGGAATGGACCAGCTCCAGCATTTTTGTAGCTCTCCTTGCCTTCCCTTTTGGAATGAACACGATGTTGCTTGCCAACAACACACTCTTCACAAACTTTGGATGGAGGAGTGATCATAGGGAGGCCTGTCACCATCTGCTTCTGATGAAGTGTTTTCAGCCCATTAAAGTTCAAATGGCCATAGCGAAAATGCCAAAGCCATGATGGATCATTCTCCTTAGCCAACAAGCAAGCTTGAATAGTCTTGATTTTCAGCGGAAACAACCTGTTTGGTCTCATGTCATCTGAACAACAACAATAGCACCCCTTGCTAGATCATATATCTCACATGCACCTTTCTGAATTGTTATAATATAACCCTTATCTTGCAATTGGCCAGCACTCAACAGATTAGTTTTTAGATTAGGAACATAAAAAGCATTCGAAATTGTTTCAACAAAATCATTCTTAGTTCTAATATGAATCTCTCCCTTTCCCATCACATTTACAGTAGAACAATCACCAAAACTTATAGTAGTCTGAAAGTCTTCATTTAAAGATGAGAAAGAAGACTCACTAGCACTCATGTGATTGCTGCAACCTGTGTCGACATACCATACATCAAGCTTAGGATCGTCCTTGGCATGAAAGGCCATCAAAAGTGTTTCTTCTTCCCTTTTCTCAACAAAGTTCGACTTCTCTCATTTTTCTTTGTCTTTTGGCATCTTTGTGTAGCACTTATTGCTGTAATGCCCATGATTTCCACGCCTATAGCACTCAATCTTGGACTTGTCCACCTGTCCTCTTCTTTTATTCTGAAACTGGGAGTGATCATCATCTCTTTTGAAATACTCGCGTTGTCTGCTTCCATCTCGGTTGCCTCGAGCACTTCTTCCACGTACTCTACCTCTACCTCGTCCTCTTTCTCTTGAGCTTGTGGATTCAACAAAGGTAGAAGCTTTCAAAGCTTGCTCTTCTGAGGTGCATCGATTCAACCTTTGTTCATGGACTAGTAAGGAGCTTTGCAGCTCATCAATTGACATTTCATCAATGTCATTAGACTCTTCAATAGAGCACACAATATAATTGAATTTTGGAGCCATAGATCTCAGGATCTTCTCAACAACAGCACCATCTTTAATCTTATCATCATGGATTCGCATTTTGTTTGCTATCCCCACAACTCTTCCAAAATAATCAGTAACTGATTCTCCATTTTTCATTTGAAGAGTCTCAAAATCTCTTCTTATGGCTTGAAGCTGTGCTCGCTTCACTCTTGTTGAGCCCTGGTACTTTTTCTTCATGGAGTCCCAAATGTTTTTGGATGTATCCTTTTGGAGAATGGTCTACAAAATTGCACGATCATCAAGTTTCTTTTGTTATGGTGGTGTCAGTACTGCTCCTTCTGGCTCAACAAAACCCGTTTCCACAAGATCCCAACACTCTTTGGACCTTGGGAAATTTTCCATCAACATGCTCCAATGATCATAGTGACCATCAAAGTGAGGTATGGCTGGCTAGACAAAATTCTCTACTAATTTGTCAGTTGCCATGAATGCTTGCTGCTGCAAAAGTCAAAAGCTGCTGCTTGTTTGGGATTTTTTTTATTTTTTTATTTTATCAGGCTAGTGGTGGCTCCGACACCAGATGTTGGAAAAAACTGATTCTATGAATAATTGCTAAAGTGTTAAAACAATAACAATATGGCTGAAAGCTTCAAGCTAATTTTATTGAATTGAATTGAATTGAATGAAGGAATACAACTTAAATAAGAGCAGCAAAGCTACATTTGCAAACAACTACAATGTCACTTAGCAGATTTTGTGGAACTAAACCCTTGATTACGTGAATTGGTTATACACACCAACCATGACTCCTACAAACTAGGGATTCTCCAATAGACTAGGTAATAGCAATCTCCTAGCTATAGATAACAATATTTATTAAAATAAAAACTTAAAGCTTAAATCTTAACAGTTTTGTGTGTTACATTGGAGTGTTATGTTTGGGATTACATTGATTGGAGTCTTACGTTTGAGAAAAGCACACCAAATAGTTTTTTAGTGTGTTACATTAGAGTATTACGTTATTGGAGTGTTACATTTTTGTTCATAATGTGAGATTTGTTCAAGAAGGAAGGAAAATCCAAAGCCTCTATAGTGCATATTGTCCAAATGTATAATTTTACATTTGGAGAAACTCACTTTTATCTATAAAAAATTAAATCCAAACATATAAGTGACTACCTTTTTGTATAATTTCCACTTTAATGGGACCTTTGGGTTCATAAGAAAAAAGTAAGGACACAAGATCACATTTTGAGATTTATTGGTGCTTCACCCTAAACAAATTGGTGAATTCTAAATTATCTGTTTTGGAGTTTTTTCTAGGAAAGGATGAGAAAAAAGAGGGAGGGAGGGAGGGAGGAAAGGAAGGAAAGCAATTGGTTTTGGGTGAGCTGGCAGATTTGGTTGCTGCCAAAGCTTGTGCCAACTTTGACACAAGATTTGGCAAATGCCAAATTTGGCCGTTGCTATAGGATGCCACTAGAGAACTCATCTTTTGCCCAAGTTGCCATATTTTGGCAATAGTAGGTGTTTTAGCAATCCATTAGAGATACGGTTAGTAGAGTAATCTGTGGGGCCCATCAAAACCATATTTGGTTGTATTAAAATGTTGTAGGACTATTAGTTCAATTAGACTACCGATCCTTCCTAAGAATGGGATTAGCATACCCATTGGAGAGTTGGGATTCCTAATCCAATCCCTTTGAATTGAAAATAAAAGATCATTTTTAATATTATTATGTTTTAAATAATTTATTAGTGAAACAAATATTTAAATTTTTTAATAAATACTAATAAATATATATATTTTTTATATTTAGTGAATTTTTAAATGATTTTAAGCAAAATTTATATTTTTTAGAAAAAAATAATAATAATTATAATATTGAAAATACTAAAAATTTAAAAATATTAATTTTATATATTAATACTCTCTCTAGCATTACTAATCCAATAACAAACATTCTTTATCTTACATTTCTAACTTAATGCTAATACATTACTAATCTCCTCACTCAATCACACCATACTCTTAATTCCTTTCATCCAATGGAGCCATGACCTTTATGTGTAGAAATTTGTGTGGTCCTACCGTGGAGTGGTTATTGGGTATTCTTGAAGTATGGCCATATGATGTTTTAAGGTATTGTGATTGTTGAAAAAAGTAAGACTCATGATTTTGTGTCGGATGATTGAAACATGAAAGGGCATGGCGTATGATGATTAGTGAAGGAGTATGAATACATGACGCTCTAAGAGCGTTGAATAGTTTTTCCTTAACATGAAAAAAGGATCATAGACATAACTGTTTTGGCGCTAAAATAGTCAAAAAGTCCCTACAAAAAAGTGTTAACTGTTTTCTTTACTTTTTTTTATACATTCATAAAAAATAAAAAATTCAACTAAAATAATCAGTTTCCAAAACAACATACAGTTAGGTGGTGTTTGTTTCTCTTGATTGGGTGAATCGAACTAAAAAATATAGGGTAAAATATAGTTTTGATTAGATCAATTTTATCTTAATTTTTCATATTGTATCAATTTAATCTAATTAATAATTTTTTTTTAGAAATTAGACTGGAATTGAAGGGGAAAATAGTCTACTCATTCTCTTCAAAATGACTGGGGTTGATGCCCATTTTAAAAAGATCCATTCCCTTTGGGATAGACTATTGTTATCCTTTGTTTAATTCTTAATAGATGTTATCAATTTGATTAAATAGATATAATTGAAAAAATAATTGTTTAGTGTAATATATTTAAAATTAATCAACTTGTATGGTTGAGTTTTAAAAACTAAATATTTTTTTTTTAAAAAAAAAACTAAAATCTAGTTTTGTAAATATATATCTATACTCATTTTTTTTATTTTTTAAATACACCTAATCTAGATACACTTAAAAAGTATAATATTTGTGAAAAACTTAAAAAAATTCACCAAATACAAAAAAAATCAAAAAAAATCAAAAAATAAGAAAATAAGAAAATTCAGCACATTTTCGTATTTTGTTCTATTGAATGATTTTTTCAATTTGTTTTTGTACAAATTTTGTACTTTTTAAGTATATCAAGATTACGTGGATCTAAAAAATAAAATATTTAAAATGCTTTAAAAAAATCATTAAAAATATAAAAATATGAATTGAAAACCCAGAAATATATTTTTGAAAACTCCAAACCAAATATTATTTGTAAATTTTAAAGTTTTGTAAAACTATGCACAAATAACTTAAAGGGTACTTGTGTCTAAGTCCTAATAAGTGGATTTATTGTCTAATAGGTCTTATGAGAAAAATTTATCATAAAAAAAGTCACTAATTGTAAGTTTTAGTGACTATTTATGAAAATCATGAAAAAAAAGTCACTAATTGTCAATTTTTAACGACATATATAAAAATTTGTCACATTATTTTTAGGGATAATTTTACTAAAACTTATTTTCAATAGGACTTGATAGGAATTAAGTCCAACTATTAGGACCTATTGGTAGTTTATCCATAACTTAATACCTATTATGATTTTATGATATGCATAAAATCAATTGATTTTCTCTTACTCCGCCCAAGATAAATTTAGTTGTATTATGTTTAAAATGATTGATTTTATTTTTCATAACATAAAATAAAAATAAAATTAAAATATATTGTCAATATAATGTCAAACTTGCATTACCTTATTGGTTGGACACTACAAACCAAAATATACATTTAACCATCTAAAACTTTATTCTTTGTTGAATTAGTTATCCATTAAAATCGTAAACAAAATATAGTATTAAATTTAGTGTTAGGTTTTTATTCTTGGCAATCCCGTTTGACAAAACTCATTTCAACTGTAATTGTATTTAATCTTTTATTTTAGTGAGGTTATGAGTTTTTAGATGTGAATCCAACCCGAATTGTGCCTTGGATCGCAACCTTTCAGAAGTTTCACCCGCTTGCAAAAGTACTGGGAGTTGTTTTTTTTTGCTCGAGCGGTCATTCCTGCGGTCGAGCGTAGATCCGCTTGAGCAGCTATTCTTGTGCTCGCGCGAAGATCACGGATCTATTTTTTATAAATGTGTTTACTTGATAGGAATTAAGTCCAACTATTAGGACCTATTGGTAGTTTACCCATAACTTAATACCTATTATGATTTTATGATATACATAAAATCAATTGATTTTCTCTTACTCCGCCCAAGATAAATTTAGTTGTATTATGTTTAAAATGATTGATTTTATTTTTCATAGCATAAAATAAAAATAAAATTAACATATATTGTCAATATAATGTCAAACTTGCATTACCTTATTGGTTGGACACTACAAACCAAAATATACATTTAACCATCTAAAACTTTATTCTTTGTTGAATTAGTTATCCATTAAAATCGTAAACAAAATATAGTATTAAATTTAGTGTTAGGTTTTTATTCTTGGCAATCCCGTTTGACAAAACTCATTTCAACTGTAATTGTATTTAATCTTTTATTTTAGTGAGGTTATGAGTTTTTAGATGTGAATCCAACCCGAATTGTGCCTTGCAGAGAAGTTTGTGGTGTTAATTCTTTCATGTTTGCCACTTCGCTGACTATGACAGGGATCGCAACCTTTCAGAAGTTTCACCCGCTTGCAAAAGTACTGGGAGTTGTTTTTTTTTGCTCGAGCGGTCATTCCTGCGGTCGAGCGTAGATCCGCATGAGCAGCTATTCTTGTGCTCGCGCGAAGATCACGGATCTATTTTTTATAAATGTGTTTTAGTCCGATTTTAGGATACGGCTTCCAGATCTTCTTCTTGGGTATTAGGGTTTTCATCTGCGGTTTCTTTACTTGTTGCCTTTGATATCTGTGAGAGTTTAATCATGAAGTGAGTGGATTATATCAAAGGGTTTGTTTAATTTGTTTTATTCACAAAAGAGAGAGTTGTTCTTTGGTGGATTCCGTGGAATTTGGGCCTGAAGCTTTGGTGGATTCTCGTCGTGGATTTGACATCGAAGTTGTGGATTCAACGTTGGGCAAGACAATTCCGAGGTGAAGACCGTGGTGGAAGAGGCATATAAGGGTCGGTTCAATTCGGGCGTGGATTCGCTAGATAATTGAGAGTGTACTTGTCTAATTTCTTTTGTCTTCTTAGTGGATTATTTTGTGGCTTTTGCCTGTGATTTTTTTATCACAATTGAAGGTGCTCCAATTGTGATTTTTCCATGTAAAATTGTTGTGTCGATTTGTCTTGATTGTTTAATTGCGATTGTTATTTATTACTTAAAATTGATATATAATCACAAATCAACGTTTAAGGGATTTCTAGATTTTTCAGATAGATTCTTGCAATCTAAGAAATTAAAGAAGTAATGAAAATAATTAAATTTTAATCTTAAATTACAAAACTAAAAAGAAAAATAAAAGAATTGAAATCATGTATAGTAAGGTAAAGTTTTCATTTCAAAACATAAGGTAGCGTTTGGTAGAGTTTTGTAAATGTGATTTGAGAGTATGAGTTGTATTTTGAGTTTGTGTGTTGTGAAATTATGATTTGAGTGTAGAAAATTTGTTTGGTAAAGAGTTTTGAAAATAGTTTTGAAAAGGGTTTTGATTTGAGTGGGAATTATTGATATGACATTTGATACGTAATACAAAAATTTAAAAAAAAAAAAGACTAATGGGAACAATGCTACAACCAAAAGACAATTTATATGAACACAATTAAAATTGCATTCTACCAAAAATCTAATGTATATTAGCACTATTTAAATTCCTAATGCATATCAAACCTGTAATTTTATCAATAAATACAAAAAATTGTGTCCTTGTGCAAGTATATTCAAGCTACTTCGATAATAAAAGTATACCATAAATGAGAAGAAACATAATGAACAGATAATAATATTCATTAAAAAAATTATCGTATAAAATATAAAGGGTAAATTACACTTTGCCCTCTTAAGTCACCACAACAAAATGCACATTTGGCGACTAAAAAAAATGTAGTCGCCAAAAGTTGTGGAATTGGCGACCAAAAATTTTTTTAGTCGGCAAAAGTACAATATTTAGCTACTAAATTTTTTTAGTTGGGGTATATTAATTATTGGCAACTAAAAAAAAATTTAGTCGCTAAAAAAACCAAAATTGGCAACAAAAAAATTATTTAAGTTGCCGTATATTGAGTTTTTGCTACTAAAACCATTTGGTCGTCGAATGTAAAATAAAAAATTATTTTTTTGTTTTTGGCTAAAAATTATTTTTTATCTTTGGCCACCAAAAATTTGGTCGCCGAAAATATATTTGCAGTGATTAAAAAATTTTTTAGTCGCTAAATGGTTAGTTTTGGCTGCTAAAATTATTTAGTCGCCGAATGAAAAATAAAAAATTACCTTTTATCTTTGGCGACTAAAAATTTGGTCGCCAAAAATTTATTTTCAGCAACTAAAATTATTTTGGTCACCAAAGAACTAAAATATTTGGAGGGAGATATTTTAAATTTTGGAGGAATTTATAATATTAATTAATATTTATTTGTCAACAACAAAACCAATTTGGTCACCAAAGGTGTGAAAATTTTATACAGAACATATTGTTCTCTCTCACACAGATGCTCCTTCGCAACCAAACATCACCCACCTCTTTTCACCACAGACCACCGTCGCTCATCGTACGTAGCACACCGCCGCCGCCGCTGCAGAACACTGGCTCTCTGTCTCGCTCTCGGTTTGTCTGTCTGTTTGTCTCTCTCTCCCTCTATTTTCCCCTTTCTGACTGTTGCTCTAGCGTTTTATATGCTTGATTCAGTTTAATTTCGTGTTGATTTGTGAAATGGGTTCAGTTGTTGCGGTTTGATTTCATAGGGCTTTGTTATAATTTGTAATAACGTGATGATTTGAAATGGGTTCGGTTGTTGTGGCCTAGAGGGTGCTGCATTTGTAATCTCTGATATATCCTTGTTGTGTGTGGTATAGAGGGAGAAGAGATGGGGGAGTATACCCAATCAGTAGACTATCTACCGTTCTTGGAAGAGTTGTATACCCAATCATCCATTAATTTATTAAGGAGGGAGTCCTAGAATCCGTTAAAAAAGAAAAAAAAAAAAAAATCATATGGGTGCTAGCTCACACACTATGAAACCCATCTTATATGAGAGGGTGCTGTTATATCTTTTTATTCCTTGGTGGTTGTTTTTTCTTTTTTTTTAATAATTATTTTACACATTCCCATCTATAATACATATATACATATTAATCTGTCATATGATCTCAGTTAGCATATGTGAGTTGAGTGTGCATGTGATTGTGATTGTGATTGGATCATATAAGTCGTACGATCATAAATATTCTCCTTATTATTGTAGTTGCACTGTTTTTTCTTTTTTTTTTAATAATTATTTTACACGTTCCCATCTATAATACATATATACATATTAATCTGTCATACGATCTCAGTTAGCATATGTGAGTTGAGTGTGCATGTGATTGTGATTGTGATTGGATCATATAAGTCGTACGATCATAAATATTCTCCTTATTATTGTAGTTGCACAAGCACTATAGGATGACACAACAGTTAGAAATTAGGATTGAGAATGGGGGAGGGGTACGTATATATATGGACAAACCAGGAATTACATTCCATTACCAATTCAGTAGTTCCCATTTCACCAAATAATTCAATGTTGTTTATTTTATCTATTAATCATATCACGAAGAAAGAAAAATAGAAGGTACACCCCAAAAGAAGACTGACTGATTCGTAATAACGTGATGGTTTGAAATGGGTTTGGTTGTTGTGGCCTAGAGGGTGCTGCATTTGTAATCTCTGATATATCCTTGTTATGCTTTGAGCCTTCTGGTCCATGTTTGGAACATGCATGTTACGAATGCAGATTTGTGCATTTGTAATCTCTGATATATCCTAGTTTGTGTCAGATTTGTGCATATGTGCATAACAAGGTCACATGCTAGCCTAGTTTTTCAACCTTTATATTACACTCTATGTTACACCTTTTCCCCTTTTTTGTTTTTTATGTTTTTATTATTCTTTTACACTTTGTTGCTTTGTAACACAGAGATTTTGAATTTGAAAAGTGCAAATGAATATAAATACTTGAGGCAAAGCAATTGCTATTCAATTTCTGGGGTTGATGATGCTTAACAGTTTCGCATTGTAATGGTATTTTCTTCTTGTCCTTGTTCTTATTATTATGAGCACAGTTATAACCATCAATGCTTTTAGAGTCTTATTTTTCCCTTTCCCCTTCAAGTTTAGAAATAGGGGTTGATTTATATATGAACGTCATTGTGTCTTTTTTCACTCTTCAGGAAGCTCTGGATATTGTTCATGTTAGCAAAGAGGATCAAGAAAGTGTATTTAAAATGCTCACTGCAGTTTTGTGGTTGGGGAATGTCTCCTTTACAGTGATTGATAATGAAAACCATGTTGAACCTGTGGCAGATGAAGGTAACAATCTACTAAAAAGATAAAGTTTAACAGTTGCATGGTTGTTTTGTTCATTTGATTTGTTGTTATTTATTTTGCTTGTAGGTGGATTATTGGCTGTAGGTAGCAACACTCCTATTTGAATGAACAATCCTATTTATTGCAGTTTGGACATACTAATCTATACTAGCCCTCCTTGAGCCTGTTGCTCTTGAGTATGACCCCATGCACCTCAGTTCAAGGGTTCAAATGCTAGTGACAGATTGCTAAAATTGGACATGGCAATCCTTGTTGCAGTGAAGAGGTTTTGAAACCCCTTTAAAAAAATTACATTGTTGATGGTACTTCATGAATGCCATCAGCTGTTGTTATAATCAAATCAAAAATTTAGAAAACAAGCTCCTAGGATTTTGGAAGAGGGAGAGGAACTATTAATAGATTAGATTGACTGTTGATATTTGCTGATATCTACTTGTTTCTCTCACTTCAATCCACTGTCTTGATGATAGCATGGGTGGATTAATAAATTCTTCCCATACTTTCCTTTTTCTTTAAGCAATAAGTTTTATACATGGGTGGATTAATAAATTCTTCCCATACTTTCCGTAGCATGGGTGGATTAATAAAATTTTCCCATTCTGAACCAACATAAATTTGGTTAATTTTATATGATAAATCAATAAATGGTGGGTTAAATATCAGTTTTCTAGGAGAATGGCTTTAAGCCAAACCTTGATTGTACTATTGTGGGTTAAAGATCTGGGCATTGATATTGTTTGAATTTTATGCATATTTTCTGAAAATGATAAATGAAAGCTCAATTTTCCATCTTTCTGCTATCTATGCTCCCTTGAATATCAGGAATCTCTTGACAACGTGCTAGTTGAACTCTACAAGGTACGCACATTTCTTCAAATCACATTTCTTCAAATCTGACCTTCTCTATCACCATAGATATAGCTGTTGATTTGATGTGAATTTTGTTGGTAACAATTAGGAGAATTTGGAAATGCAACTTTTGTGTATGGATGACTCGTGTGATTTTCATAGCATTTGGAAAGAATGCCTTTTTGGTTTTCGTGGCATTTGGAATAAGTTGTGTTTGGATTTAATGGATAGGAAATTAAATGATTTGGCACTATTTATTCAAGGAACTAGTTCAAATTTAGATTTGATAGTTTACAAATGGATTTCAAGCCTTTTTTTGAGAACTTTGTTGTGATGAATTTAAAATAACGTTTTAGTAGTTTCTTGAATCTTCATGGTAAGGTGTTTTAGTTGTACAATGATCCTAATAAAAAAAACTTTTTTTTCCCCATGTTTTCTCTTTCCCATTTAGCCTAATAGTTATAGTTTGACATCTTGAATACTCTTTAATTACTTGGTGATCAATTGCAGAGATCTGGTAGGATTGAAGAACATATTGCAATGCTTCAACATTAAAGTGAAGACTATTTTTGGAAGAACAGGTTATTTGGGAACTCGGCCTGGGCATATGCTTACAGCAAAATAATTTCAAATCCTTGGAAGAGCTTTATTATGCAGCAGGTTATTTATATTTGTGTACGAAGAGTATTTGTTCTGTATATGGGAGATTTATTTTTGTACAATCTTCTGTTTTGGAATTTCAATGTTTTTGTATGTAATATTTAATTTAAATGGATTATATTTGGTTGGTATGGATTTGTATGATATTTGGAATATGATGTTACAAGTAAAAATTTTTGGATAGTTGATAATGAAATGGGTATTATTGATAATGGATTTAGATTATAATTGATAGATGTACTATTCTGTATATGTACAGGTTACAGGTTGCATTGATAATAGAATCCATATAATTTAGAAATTAATGAAAAATATTCAATTTGTGCATTTAAAAAAAATTAATAAATAGAGATTTTGTCGACTAAACATTTAGTAGCCAAAATTAGTCGAGGGAACTTGTTGGCGACTAAATAGTTAGCAGTCAAAAAATGAAAGTTTTTGGCGATTAAAAAATTAATAGCTAAAAAGGAGCATCATAATTTTAGTGACTAAAAAATTGCTAAAAAGAGTGACGTTTTTAGCGACTAAAAAATCGGTAGCTAAAAAATTGAAGAAGAAAAATATTTTTTTTTTGGCGACTAAGTATGTTCTTTTGGGCAATTAAATTTTTAATTGCTAATTGGCAACTTTTAGCTGATTAAAAGAAAATTAATCGTCAATTCTTTTGCCTATAATTAGTCAACGACCAACTGGACGACTAAAATTTTAGTCGGTAAAAATCTCTGGCGACTAAAAATTGACTTTTTGCGACTAAAAATTTAATCGCAAAAAATGTAATTTGTTATAGTTTCACTCATTTCTTATTTTGGCAATTTAAGTTTGATTTTTCCTACTTTGACCCCTCATCTTTACAATCTTTTCCACTTTGACCTTTCATATTTGCAATCTTTGCTACTTTGCTCATAGACTAACTTCCGTCCAAAAAATTAACAAATTTGTCACATCACTAATACATACTCCATGTGTGATGTAAAAAATTCACTAAAGATGCAAAAAATAAAAAATAGAAAACAAAAAAATTTGAATTTTTTTTAGTCTTTGGTGAACTTTTTTTCAAATTTAATTATATACATTATTACATTATAGATGCATCTAGATTAGATGTAGCTAAAAAAATAAAAACAAATTTAACTAAAAAAAAAGTTCACTAAAGACAAAAAAAAAAAAACTATAGTAAACTTTTCATTTCAGAATTGACAATATAGGTATTTGAGTCGGTATATTTTCATTTTTTCGTCTTTAGTAAACTTTTTTCTTTTTTTAGTTAAATTTGTTTTTATTTTTTTAGCTGCATATAATCTAGATGCATCTATAATGTAATAATGTTTTATGAATAAATTTGAAAAAAAAGTTCACCCAATACTAAAAAAAATTCAATTTTTTTTTGTTTTTTATTTTTTATTTTTTGTATCTTTAGTGAATTTTTTACATCACATATGGAGTTAATGTGTTAGTGATGTTTTAAATTCTGTTAGTTTTTTTGGATGGAAGTTAGTTTAGGAGTAAAGTGGGAAGAATTGCAAACATAAATGACCAAAGTGAGAAAAATCAAACTTAAAGGGCCACAATGGGAAGGATTACAAATATGAAGAGCCAAAGTGGAAAAAATTAAACTTAAAGGGCCAAAGTAGGAAATGGGTGCAACTTTAAGGGGGCAAAGTGTAATTTACCCAAATATAAATCATACTATACATTCAATATATAAATAATAATGCTGAGGCCACATCATAATGAGAAAAAAAATTAGAGATTATTTCATTTTTACCCCTATACTTTGTTATGATTTTCAATGATGATCCCCCAGACTACTCTTATTTTCACACGTACACCTATACTATTTAAGTTCCTATCAACTTTGCCCCTGCCGTCAAATTTGAAACGAAACAAGTTAAAAAAATTACATTTTGACCCCAAATTTCAAAAAAAAGATGCAGACCCATCCTTTTCCTACCAGCAAAGCACCACTAGCAACCACCACTTCAAGCCCTTCTATCTCCTTCGTCACCAAATTTCAAAAAAAAAGATGCAGACCCATCCTTTTTCTACCAGCAAAGCACCACTAGCAACCACCACTTCAAGCCCTTCTATCTCCTTCGTCATAACTCCGTTTTGCCTCATTTTTATGTTGTTGGATTCAACTCACGGTCTAGTTTTCGTATCACATCTCACACGTCTCATTCTTTCTCTTTTTGCATGCTATCGGAGCTTTGAAAGTCGATTAAAAAAAGACTTTTCTTCTTGTTTTCGACTTTTCTTCGAGCCATCTTTCGGACTTCATATCTTTCTCGATTCTTCACGATTCTACTTCATTCTTTCGCCATTCTCTTCACCTCACTTCCTACTTCGTCCTACACTACCTCACTTTCTCACTTCTTCGTGTAATGAGCAGTTTTGGTATGCCGAAAGTTGTCCGAAAACTAATTTCAAAAATTTCAAAAGAGAAAACAAGCGCAATCCACAAGCTGGAGGATAAGAAAAAGAAAATCGAGAGGGACAAATAGAGATTCGTATGTATGAACATGGTAGAAACCATTTGCAACAATGTCTAGAACTTCAAAGGGCCGAGTTTCCGTGATGAATTGGTAATGGTGACAGAGGGCTTTGGAATAAGGAACTCTGAGTACATATCCACGAAAAAGTTGTCAACAATGTCAAGGTAAACTGGGCAGGTAAGGTGCAAGTAGTTGTGGAGCACCACTTCTATGTCCAACACATGGTCCACATCATTCATATCCATCTCTCTCATCTTCTCCGCCAATATATAGCCCCCTTCTCCTCCATTGCCAATCTGCAAACATGCCTCTCCTCCTCTACCTTGACTGATGCTTCCTATCTTCTTCTCTTCATTTTCCCTCACTTTGCATTTTCTCTTTAGAGCATTCATGTCTTCAAATTTCGTGAAGCTTCCACTAAAGAGAAATGACTAGAGGTTTTGGAGGGTTTTGTGAAAGAACATCTTGGTCTTGTGAAAAGTGTTTCTTAGCAGCATTTTGTGGATTCCAGTGGTATTTGTTTACAAGGAATATTGTGTGTGTCTTTGTTTGTCTTTTAAGTTTGCAGTAGCAACAGATAACTGCTTCAGCTTGTTTACCTTCTTACTCTCCAGAGATGTTGCTTCCAATATACAACTAAGAGAGACAAAGACTGTTAAAGTTTCTCCCACTTTCCTTCAGATTAAAGGCAATGGATTTTAGAGGGACAATTTGTGTATAAGTGAAGAAGAAGAAGAAGAAGAAGAAGAAGAATGAGGCAGATGGAGAAGAAAGAAACAAAAGATGAATCTTTTGAAATTCTCGAAATTAGTTTTCGGACAACTTTCAGCATACCAAAACTGTTCATTACACGAAGAAGTGAGAAAGCGAGGTAGTGTAGGGCGAAGTAGGAAGTGAGGTGCAAAGAATGGCAAAAGAATGAAGTAGAACCGTGAAGAATCGAGAAAGATATGAAGTCCGAAAGATGGCTAGAAGAAAAGTCAAAAACGAGAAGAAAATTCTTTTTTATTTTTTATAGACTTTTGAAGCTTCGATAGCATGCAAAAAGAGAAATAATGAGACGTATGAGATGTGATACGAAAACTAGACCGTGAGTTGAATCCAACGACATAAAAATAAGGCGAAATGGAGTTATGTCAAAGGAGATAGAAGGGCTTGAAGTAATGGTTGCTGGTGGTGGTTTGCTGGTAGGAAGAGGGTGGATCTGCATCTTTCTTTTGAAATTTGGGGCCAAAATGTAATTTTTTCAACTTTTTTCGTTTCAAATCTGACGGCAGGGGCAAAATTGATGAGAACTTAAATAGTATAGGGGTACGCGTGAAAATAAGAGTAGTCTGGAGGAGTCATTGAAAATCGTGACAAAGTATAGGGGTAAAAATGGAATAATCTCAAAAAATTATTGGTTGTTTCTGCATTTCATTTCTAACCATTGTGCTATTGAGGGACGCCTCTTCTACTATGATTCGAGATAAGTTTCTCAAGCTTCTTGTCTCTAATTTGTTGTACTATTTTCCTTTAAGTCCAATCCAAGAGGGAAAAAAAGCATTTCCTTAGTGTAGCATATATACACATACAAAATCAGTAATACTAACAAGCACGCATGCAAATCAATTGAATGAGAAAGGATATATTTATAGCATACATAGAAAACTCAAATATTGAAAATCCAAAAATCACAATAGCAACACTTGATCAGCATGATTATGAAAGGATAATATATAACTCTTAATCAGATGGACTCAATAGCTTAAATTTGAAGATAAACTCTAAGAACTATTGTTACCCAAAAAGCAACCTAAGAGGGGGGGTGAATTAGGTTTCTACAAATTAAAATTAATAATACCCCAATAAAATTAACTACTAGTACAATAAATTATTAACAAGCACAATGATGAACTTAGCAGTAAATGATCAAGCAAAATAACAATGAAGTATAACTAACATACAGGGTAAATCAAATGATTAACACATGAATATTAGATAGCTATAGCAGTAGTAGGAAAGTAAAGAGATTAGGGAAGATGAGACAAATAGATTTATAGTGGTTCGGCTTTAACCAAGCCTACATCCACACCTCAAGCTTCACTTGAAATTTTTCACTATCTTCTAGCTTCACAGGGTGCTAGCAACATTTTCACAGATGAAGCAATCTTCCACAGATTTTACACAAACTTTCTAAGTCAAGAACACTGAGTGTACTACACTCTTACAAGGTTGAAAAGAATGTGTTTTTGCTTTCACAGAAAGCTACAAGAATTATCTCTCAAAGATAGATATAAAAATGAAACTCTGATTTTTCCGT